ATTTATGACATCACATGCACAGTATGAAATAGGAGGTAGATTATCATCCCAAGAAACCTTAAAATCTTGTAATTAGAGAGAAAAGAAATTGAGATTACATTTAGAAATGTAAATTGCATGTGGGTAAAATAATATATTTTTTCCCCCTACTAAGAATTTAAAGGGAAACATATAACTTTTAAAATTCAACATCGCATGAGAAAGCTCCCCAATGCAAAACTGCATTATTTCTTTCAACTCAAAATTACCCCTCAGTTTGCTCTTGGGGAGGCAAGACCGCACCCCAAAGGCTTCTCTGTTGCGTGAGTAGAGCTGTATGTGCATGCGTCGGCCTGCTGCTCATGTGGCCCGGTTCTTCCCCCCCAAAACCAATCTGCCAAGCCACAAAGGTTGGGGATCACTATTCTAGGACCTACTTAGAGGATGAGGAATATAAAGAAAGGGGGAATTTGTTTTGCTGATGCTGTTGATTGTTGGCAAATTAATCCAAATTACTTAATGGTAAACATTTCATTATCTCTAATTTATACTGAAAGGTATATGTATCTGTGCATGTGTGAGTGCAGTGAAAGTTTTTTATCTGCCTCCTTTTTCAGTAAGTATATTTGCCAACTTTTGACCATGTATTCTCCCTAATATTTTTATGTGCAAGCTATAACATTTAATAGGAAACACTATAAATGCCACTATAAATCTTCAGTATAAAGTAATATATAGAGAAAAGAACTTTGGCAGTGGTTCTGTTTAGGTATAAATTGTCCTTTTTAGTTGTGATTAGAAGATGGCACTTACATTCTTGTTCAAACATATACAATTAGTTTATAATGTCTCAAAGCTTCTGGTTGGGTAACAGAATTTTGATTGTAGGTGTTTTTATACATAAAATATCCAGCACTGTATCTTTGGTTGTTTCCAAGTTCTCATACATAAATATAAGAAAAATAATAGACCAGTTTTCAAAAGGGGTACAAAAATATTTTGATTTTGAAATACTTATGTCCATTCCACTCTCATGACTTTTCTAATGTTAACAAATTGTTCTAACCACATATTAATCATTCCAATAGCTAATATGTCAAAATGGTCCATTTTGAAGTCATAATATTCAAGAAGGTTTAGAAAAGTATAGCATTTCTGCTAGGCCAGGGAAAGAGATGTAACAGAATCAGAACATTTTTACCTTGAGACAATTTTTATTTGTCTGTCTCTCTCCTGCTAGCACTAAAAAGGAATGAGGTTTTCTGATATTAGTCCTAAAATTTCTTTATGATCCCTTATTGTAGTAATGTTAATAATGCAATCTTATTCAGAAGGAAGAAAGCAAAATAGATTCATAATTATAATTTGGTAACATTTAATTTTTTCTTTTTATTTGTTCTTCTCTGTGCTTCTTTTCAGGTTGTTTGGATAATCTTCTACACTGCCATCCATTATGATTGACAAACTCAGCCAAATTAATTGTCTTAACTGAAGAACACTTTAAGAACCCCCTTTGGCCTATGGAGAGGTAGAACAAGTCAGTTTTTACATCCATGGTCCAAGGAGATGCAACATGTCTTGTGGATTCTAAGAAGAAAAGTTTGATCAGTCTTATTTTAAAAAGCTGTTGCTTTTCCAGAACTTAAAAAAAGCCATTACAATGCTTTACAGATAGCACAAGACTTTTCAACCTTTCAGCCTTCTTGGTGACTTTAGCCAGTATGGCGATGACAAATCTTTATATCCTAAAAGGGTGATTCTGTTAATTAACTTGCATCGATTATCTTGTTCTCTTTGAGATCTATTGAGATTGTGACTTGTCTTCCATTTGTAAGACATACTAAAATGGTAGCCATCATGAAGCATATGGCAGGAGGAGAATTCAGCTGAATGTATTGTAGAACACAGATTTTGATGGTTCTCAGCTTCTTTTGAGGAAATTAAAGCTCTGATCTAAGTACTAATGTCTTTAAATGGTTCATCCAGGGTTTTAAAATTTTGGTCGCTTAACAATGTAATAAACATAATCTTCAGATTGTTTCCTAATATTTTGAGATTTTAACTATTTACTGAGAAGTGTGAGGCTTTCCTAGCTTCATTAGGGAACTTCCCAAAACAATTGCAGTGATTTAGAAACATCTTAATATATTGGTTAGTAAACCAATTCAGTTTCCAGAACCTACCTCAGAGTCTAGTGATCTAAATGCACAAAATAGCAGATGCTTCAGAATTCAATTACGTTGGGATTGTTACAGGTTTTTGAAGCTGAAACATAATACAGAATAATACAAAAGAATTAAGGCAGCTAATGTCTTGTACATAGAACTAATTTTCAGATAGGAGTAGACTGAAATTCAGTGTTGATATTTTATGATTAAAAATATCAGAATGAAAAAGTCTACTAATTGTACACTAATTAGGCTGCTTATGAGCTTTAATTGTACTGTCTCAATCATTTTAAGATTTAAACTCCTTGTCTATATAAGTATTTAATAATTTCAAGAAGGTATTTCCTATTATAAGTTAATGTAAGTAGACAGAAAATGGAGTTCATTAAGACTGCCTTACAATGAGAAGCTGTTTTGAGTCCTAATATGCTGTGGATAAATTTCCAGTTCTTTGTACTCTTCTTTTAAACTCTTAACCGTGCATACTTTTTTTCACAAGTAGTTTTCCATGTATTCTCTTTCAACATTGTCAAGTCTGTCTGCCTTTTTTTCAGTTCATTGTTAACACCAGGGAAGAATTTAGCCACAGGAAGTCAAAGACAAAACTACTAAAGTTTGGAAAGCCTTAGCAGAGGTTTCTCTTGCAGTTCTTCATTGCCAATTTAAGTGTTCTCTCCTTCAGTTTGAGGAGATACTTAGACATTTTGGTATTTGCTGATTTTAAGCTACATTTCTCAATCAGCAGGGTTTTTTTCAAAGCTTGAGTCATCTACCAAATAAGTAAATCATTTTATACATGGAAGATCACTAATAAAGATCACTTTAAGAAACTGGTGTAATGCTTTTTTATTGGTATTGCCATTTTAAAATTTTCAAGTAGTATTTTGTAACTGCTTTGGCCCTTAAAGTAGATGGATATTTGCTTTTAAAAATGATGATGGCATGGTAGCTTTTTGTTAAGAGATCTGGCCATGAGTTTTAGTATTGGAGGATAATCTTGGTCTGCCTTTTACTTTGGAGGCAGTGGGAGGAAAAACTGCCTTCCTTCGTGGAAAAACTTTTTTTGCTGATTTTAAGATCTAAGTTACATAAGAGATTATCTTGGATTGCATAAAACTGTTGGGGTTGAGTTAAAATTGGAGAAGATTGCATCTTTGAAAATATCCCCACCTTCCTCAGCAAACATTAGCAGACACGCTATGTGATTAAAGTTATTGTTCCTGCACTAACTTCCATCATGTTGATGTCTCACATTACAACCACAGTGATTTACTGTCATAACTCCAGGTTCAATTCTGGTCATAAGTCATAGACTACCTGTATGGAATGAATAGCCCCATGCTGTACACACCACATAACCCATAAATAACTATGGAGCTCATCTAAAGAATGACAAGTCCAAATATTTCCTTCACATAATTCCAGTCTTTGCTTAATATGACTCCTGAACAGCATCCAGAATCCTTTGTTATCGCCTCCCCAGCCGTTCCATCTAAGGATGATCACCTTCAGTTCAACACTATAAAGTTCTTGTGCCATTTCCCAAATCCTGTTACAATGCCAACCGTTACTGCTCTTCCATATCTTACCCACGTAGTACGTGGATTGTGTAGAACAAATGGAAGCAAAGAAGTATTCATTGCAGAATAGGCTATATCTCTTGTGGACTCTTAAGGGTCAACAGGAGAGCAGCTTGGAACCAACTAAGAGGTCCAATGTTGCTGCTTACCAAAGCAATGTCCAGCCTGGAATTCAAGTCAAGAATGTGGCCTCTGCTGAGCTTGGCCTCCACAAAGCAACTTAGTTCCCAAAGAACTTTCTGCCTGCCTGGATTTCTCTTAATTACAATGAAAGTATCTTCTCCACAGCAAATTCCAACATTGAGATCCCAGCTGTAGACACCGACGGGGGTTACATTTTAATCACATTTTTGGATTTTTTTTTTCCAGACTGGCAAGATTTTATTGCATTCATCAGATGATTTTTTGCCTCCTTAAAAGATTATGTAAATTTGATTTTTAAAACTTTATGTCTGTGAAATTATTTTGAAGGAATTTAAATGGATCTGATGGACAACTCATTCCCCAAAGATGATATTAAACCAGGAAACTGATCCGAATATTTCTTTTGTTTTAAATAAAGCTCTGCTAAGATTTAGGAGATTTTTAGAAGTGACAATTCAAAAGAAATCTTAAACTTCTGAAGGATTTTCATTTTGAAACAGATGAGGAGCAAATTGCCTCTTAAGATTTTTTCTGAATAGGTTAAAGAATATCTTTTTAAAACGAGAGAAGTTTTGTAAGATTGGCTTCTTCAACCAGTGTTAAAAGAAGAAAATAATTATATCTGGTTGCTCTTGCTGGATTTCTGCTAACGAAGATTGTAGTATTTGGATCTTGTTTTCCTTATCTAAGTGATGAACTATGGGTAGAAGAAAAATTATGCTTTATTTAGAGATGTTATAATTCTTTTATCTGCTGGAACGAAGGGGAAAGGTACCTTTTCTCCAACCCGATACAACAGACCGGGTAGGCTGCAGGCCCAGCCGTCAGCCAAAAAGTGTCGGCTGGCGGGAACTACGCTTCACGATGGTGCCGGTATTTCTCATCTCCGCCATCCCTCCCCTTTTCCTCCTTGAAACATCAGCGCGGAGCTTAGAGACGGCCCAGAGAGCGCAGCCCGCGGGGCAACAGGCCAAGCGAGTCGGCCAGTGAACCCCAAGCTCCGCCCCGGCGGCCTTTAGCGGCCGCCCCTCCCGCACGCCTCCGCTTCCTCCCCAGACACTCGCTCGGCTCCCCTCTTGGCGAGCTGGCCCGGCCTCCACCGGCAGTCATTTCCGGAGCAGGAGCCTGGGCTGAACCGGCCAACCAACGCGCCTGCCTGGCTAAGGAGGCGCAAGCAGGATGGCGGCGGCGGCGGTGGCCCCGGCTGCAGGGGCCGCCGAGAAGGAGGCGAGTCAGGAGAGCAGCCTGGGCGCCTATTCGCCCGTGGATTATATGAGCATCACCAGCTTCCCCCGCTTGCCCGAAGAGGAGACGGGCAGCGCCATCGCCCCCGAGAGCTGCCTGCGCTCCAGGAAAGAGGAGGATGCCTTCCTGGCAGAGCAGGACACCGGTGAGCGCGGAAGTTAGCCCGCTTGCTTCGCCGGGCCTCTCCATCCGACCAGCCGCCAGCGGGACCTTCACGGCCATCTCTCCATCCTCTCCTTCCCCTTCATCTCCGCGGCCTCCATCCCATCCCGATCGGACCGGCTCCTCCGGGACTGGTTCCAGTCCTGCCCTTCGCCCGCTTCCCCGCATCTCTCCTTTGGCGGGCGGGGCTTCTGCGTCGTCCCTTCCTTCTTCCCACCCACCCCAAGAAGCGGCTGGCACCGGCCCAGCGGTGCAGCCGTCCCGCATCCTAAGCCTGCCCTGCTTCTGCTCTTCCCGCTTCTCCTGCCTGCCTCTCTCCTAACGTCCTTGCCGGGAGTCCCTAGTCCTCGATCTCCCCTCCTCTGCACCATCTTTTTTCCCTTTGGCCTCCTCTCTCCTTCCACTAGTGCCGGAGTGGGGGTTGGAGGCTGTGGGAGTGCTGGGCTGCATGTCGAGGCTGTGGAGGCTCCTGGGCTGTCTCTTTCCATTGTCTTGTTTCCATCCCATTTCCATCCCTCTTCTCTTTCCTCTCTTCCTTCCTTCTATCTTTTTACCAGCTCTACTTCGGGGCAATAATGTAAGTGATTGTGTTGCCTCCTTCCCATTATATCTTTCTGATCACACTATAGTCTCTTGCTCTCCAAAGAATGCTTACTGATGCTAATGCAGCCTTTCCTAATATCTGTATCCTGTAGATGCATTGAATTGCAACTCCCAGAATCCCCAGCCAGCCATCTCCCATTCTTTTGGCAACTTTTTACCTTCCCTGAAAATGGCTCAGGTTGATTAAGAACCTGGGACTTGGTGTTTTGTTTTGTTTTTAATCTGTTTCTCTCAGTTCCTCATACTTGGGAATAACTTCATGAAGTGTCCCTGAATTTTGATCTTCAGAATGTTATTTCCTATTCTAGGATCTTCCAATTGGTCTAAAAGTTTGAGAGAAAAAACAGTAGTATGCTGAAAATTACCCAGGGTAAAGTTTGCTATTGCTTCAGTAGATATTTTCAATATTTAGGAGTATTACTACATGTGCATGGGACCTGTAGCAGCTGAGATATAGCCAAGATCTTATTCTCAGATTCATTACTTATTGCAACACATAGGGTCAATAGTTAGAATAGAGCTTCCAGTCAGTTTTCCTACAATAACAATTCTTAAAGAAATTATCTCTAGCCTGGTGCCTTTCAGAATAACTAGACTACAACTCTTACAATCCTCATCCTGCATAACTGATGCTTATTAAGAAGAGGGGACAGTCTGGAAAAGGTTGTCTTAAAAGTTCTCTGGTCTCATAAATAGTTTTCGGAGTCATATAATCAAGCTGATTGACATTAAGTTAAGATGTCAAAATAGCATCACTTCATGCGTTGTGTAGGTAAAGTTCAAATCTATGAGTATAAAACAAAGATAAATGGTACAGTGTAAAGTACTTGTCATCCTGAACGGTTGTTCAGTTAGTTGTCAGTTATTTTAATGGATTATTATGAGTTATGAGCTAGAAGGATTATGAAGTCCCTCTGTAATTGGAAATGTTGCCTTCTCCAGCTTCCCAGTTCTGAAGAGACTTTTAAATGTGGAGTTCTTAGGGTTCTCTGAGCAGCAGGCTAGGTAACATCCTTATCTAACCAAGTAATGAAATGTGTGCAGAAAAACAACCATGCTCAAAACAATAACCCAATAGTACAATCCCGAGTTTTATATACAGCTGGGAGCAGAGTTTGCATATTTATTCCAGCCTCCCTCCCTTCCTCCAGCTTGCATTTGATCTTCCCCTTAAATCTCTGCAAGTTCAGTAGACTCACCCTCTTTAGTCACATTAGGGAATTCACAAGTCTAAACTAATGAAAAAAAAAATTATTTATTTATGTCTAAAGCTCTATGTTCACAAAATGAAATGCTTCTAGTACAAATTGCATTAAAGTGTATCTTTTTTTCTCAAAGTTTTTTCACGTTAAAAACAAACTAGTAAAAACCACAGCTAGATCAAAGTATGCCTCATTTTCCGTAAATACTAATTTCTGTTAAAATAGCGTCTGAATTTATTTATTTTAGGGAAGATTGAGAAATGTTACCAAAATGTTCAGGATATGTATTCTGCAGTAAATACATAGCTGAGGCCAGGACTTAACAGATTTTAAAGCAAAGAGGGAAAGTGAACTCAATATCAACAAAGGATAGGAGGCATGCACACATTCATTTCAGAATAATATCTTTTAAGTACTTTTTTTAAATATACAGCTTCATTTCAATTCCCATTGATCAAAGTTTCTTCCTGTCCTGTATTTACATCTATGCAGAGAGAAAGTAATTATGCTTTTTCCTCCCATGTACCTTCTATGAAGTGGACAATGAAACCTCATAATTTCCCACGGGACAAGATTTATGGTCCAAGGACAACTTCTGGAATTCATAGTATCTCACTTTATTATAGAGGCTAGGAAAGAAGAAGGCTGAGTCACCAATACTTCCTTCTGTCTGCTTTGAAATATTTAGGATGTTGTGGCAAATAATAGCTAAGGTTCCAGTCCCTCCCTAAAGCAAAGAAATTTTGTTAAGCAAGTAGTTTTGAGCTGCTGGAGGAATGTGAGAATATAAATCTAATCCATCCAAATAGGATTGATTCAAATCCCCGTTGGACTATGAAACAGATCTCTTATGAAGATCAAATTGCTGAAAATTATCACGATCTCCTTGGAGGAAAATAATATCAAGATGTGTCTGATTTTTTTTTTTATTTTACTATCATTCCTTAATTTTTCCTACTTTTCATTTGTCATTGCCATTGTCATTTTAAATAAAATATGTGTTTATATATGTGTGATTATTTTGCTTTTATCTTGATTATAATGCCATCTCAAACTTCTCAAGTTTGAGAATCAAATGTATTTCAATATCGATATAATTAGGCATTTGCTTATTTCTCTTTATATAATAAGGATTCCGCTGATTTGAAGGTTAAAGTATTCTTTATTTGGAGTTTAATTACCTATTAATATATAAAATGTTTGGCGTGTTTCATGGTGTGTTTTCTCCATCCTCCACAGCTGCTCCAAAACACTTCACTATTTGAGACAGAATAACAAATGTTCTCTGCTACCTAAGATAAAATTTAAGGAAACCTTTAATTTTACATCACAGGGTAAAGCATGTATATGTTGCACTATGTAGAGTTTTGTTTAATTTCTCTCATAAGGCAAAATATAGTTGGACAAAACCCAAAACACAGGAAGAATGGTGGCAATACTACATTTGCCAGTTACCAGTCCCTCTCTCCATTTTAATCTTTACATTCTCCCAACCTTCAGAGTATTAATTTGTATAGAAGTATAATTACTGCAGACAATACTAATGCCAATTAATAACCTTAAACTACTGCCATAGAAGTACCAAATTTTAATGAAACAATGTGTTCTTAAATTCTTCGTATTTTTTAAAACCTTGATTATTCATTATAGTAGCACTTATTCTTTAGAAAGTACATGTCAAGAATTTTTCATATTTCAGTTTTGTAAGTCACTGTAAGTAAAAACAATCCATATTTTATTTTTCTACTACAGGGAATTTTTTTCTACGATCCCTCCATTCTGTGGCCAATAGGTCACACTTCCACATATTTTTAGCATCCAAGACATCTAATCATTTTACTCTTTCCAATACACAGTACTACTATTTTAATAAAGGGTTCTAGGCTTTAGAAACATAGAAAATTGATTTCAGGGGGAAAAAACTCCTACTGGTCCATCAAATCTGCCCTTTGAGGTATTTTTTATTTGTTTTTGTTTTTTTATGTTTTAATTTTTTTGTCAGATAATGGACATGTGTTTATCCCAAGCATGTTTAAACTCAGTGACTGATGATTGACCCATTACCTCGACTAGAAGTTGGTCCCAAGCTTCCGCTACTATTTCTGTGAAGTAATACTTAACATTACTTTTGAACTCTCCTCTTGTCACTTTGAGGCTGTGCCCCTGTGTTCTTCATTTTTGCTTAATATTGAAAATACTGCCTTCCAGAATCTTATTCACATTCTTAATACATAAAGGTTTCAATCATGACCCCGCTTTTTCTTCTGTCATCCAGGCTGTACATAATCAGTTTCCTCCAATCCAAAATTAACTCAATAGGTTCTGCAACTCTAGAACAAGGATTAGTTATCTGTAGATCACTTATGTAGATATGTATTAGATATGTATTAGAACTATGGTTGATGCTGTGCAATGATTATTATTGGTTTCCTCCCTTTTAATATAATAGGATAGATTTCATATGTATTACTAGAAAAAAATGCATGAGTTTCTGTCCAGTTTCTGGTATGAATAAATGTAAACTCAGAAATGAAGTTTGAAATAAACTCGAATAGAATGTCTAAATTCCTCCTGAAAGCAGGTGAGTTTACAATTGTTCAGCACCTTCCTGCATATGTCAACAGTGAATTTTTTCCCCTGGCCTTTGTTGTAACTGAAGCTCCTTTTCTAATTCACCCACCATGTCTTCTATAAAGTTGCATTCATTTGGGAATGGCTTTTCTGAATTTTAATATTTCTGGCTGAATCTTGGTGCGCAATTAAAACAGATTTCATGGATTGAATAAAATGTCCCTTTGAGAATAATGTCCCTTTCTTCACCAATCCATATTTCTCAGGAAAAGTTTTGCCATCCATATGCCACTTTGAGGAAAATGAAATGAATTGAACGCATGCAAATATTTGTTCTTCAAATAAAATGTTTCTCTGGGACAAAAAACTAACATCTGGATTTGGTAGTCTTTACCAAATGCCAGGGAATGGTTTTGATTTCCCTGAATATGGCTATACATTTTAGAAACATAAAATAGCATCACCAGGGTGTTGGTCACATAAGAACATAATAGAAGTTGGCATATTACTTGTTGCCACTTCACAATCTTTGCAAACATGTTGTCAATAATATACAGGTAAGTTATGACCACAATTGAACCCAAACCTTATGCTGCTAAATGAAACA